ATCAGGGAAAATACGCGTCTTTTAACAAAAAGTACCGAAACAAAAGTTGTAGAGAATTAAATTATCTTTCAAATGAGATCAAAGTTACTATATTATAATATCCCAAAACTACTGGATATTTTTGTTAACCATAGATTTGATTAATTCAAAAATAATCTCTCTTCGACAAGAATATATGTTACAGTAATTAACTGATAATAATTAACTGACTAACAGTTAAAAATAAGAAAGTTTTCTGTAGCAAATTAAGCAGAGAAAACAAAATTATATTTCTTAGTTATAATTTCATTAAACTTTAATAATAATTTCTCTTGAAATCTAATTACAAAGAGCGTTATATGAAAAATTGGAAATAGATAATAATTTTATATAATATTTCATAAATAATTGAAATAAGTAATGTATCTTAACATATTTTTGACGAGGGAAAGCTCTGTTTACAGATTAAAACCGAAAATGCGAAAAACACTCGTTCTGATTCTGGGACACCCTGTATATCCCTCTTATAACGCTGCCAAGAAGTAGAAGGCCTCAAGTCCGGTCACATAACGGTCCAGTTATGGTATGGCGAGGAAGCGATCTCTCGCCTCGACACACGATTTCCTCGTTACACGAACGTGTCCTCCACCACCTCCGCCTATCACCACCACCGTATTTCCGTCCACTATCCTGGTTTATGCTTCGGCCGCTACTGATATGCCTCGTTTCTTCGTGTGTGTACTCGCACGCGCAATTCAATCTTTTTTTATTTTTTTATTATTGACAAACGCGATCGCGGATGATCGTTACGGCAATAACCATGATACGTGTCGAGATACTCGACCGCAAAATAAACACGTTCCTCCCCGTTTGTGTATACATCGTGGGCGACGATAATAATAATAATAACATAATGACGTAATAACAATCGTTACAATAACATTAGGAATGTTAATGGCGCTCTTATTAACGTGATTATTGCGATAATATCGTGCTCGTTACACGGGACTACGCCCACAAAGAGGACTTCCTTCCTTCTTTCAAACGAATATTTATGACTATCTATTTGATCAACAATTTATACCGATAAGATCAGCAGTAATAATTTCATTATTGCAAATTAATTTTCATCGTTATATTCCTGTATAATAATCTTTATACAATAATTTTAGTTTCATTATTTCTCCTGCATACAACTTTTAACAGATTGCTTTCGAAAATTTATGATTTTATCATACGTGTAATAAATACGATCCTAATTCTGAAATATCATAATCTAGAATCACAATGAGCGTAATGAGTGCAATTCTGCATTCAAGTGTATCGGAATAAGCGAGGAAAATGAGAAACGAGACGCTTGCGTCACAGATCGAAGATTACAGATATCAGCACCGCTTCCCTCTCTGATTGAGCCTTTCGAATAATTTCGAACCATGCCCACGCTATATAAAGCACGAGTCGTAATTACTGCTACCGATAGATACCGGAAAATTGGCACGGAGCTAAACGGTCAGAGAGACGATAAACCAAATTAAAACGATCGGTCGAAGGTGCAGACGGGTGATGCAACGTAATAATGAGCACCCTCGTGATAATTCTATGGCGCTTGTTAAGATAATGGGTAATAACCTAATTGGTTTACACGCGGAAGCGAGAATTAATGTCAATGGAAAAAGATAATAAAAAGCAGGAAATAAAGAAGAAATATAGAAATAAATATAGAAAATAGAAAAAAATGGAGCGTGAAAAGACGCACTCTTCTTTTCTCTCACTATACTGACTTATAGATTCAAGAAATGATTCGGGAAGGAAAAACTCACCAGTTCAGTGGGCATGGTGTTGCAGGATCTGAGAGGCAGATTGTACGTGATCGGAGCGGGCTGACTCCTGTACTCCTGCAAGCAAGAGCTATTCTTCGATAACCCACGTGGGTAGACCAGACCATGGAAGTCCGTGTTGCCCTCCGTCGAGATGTGAACGATTATCGATTCGCTCGCACATTCGATCTGCACGGTGCTCGCTATCGTTGCAGTCGCTGAAACACAAAATAAATTATAATTAGCAAATTATATTTTAGCGTAAAATAAATCTAGATTATGACACCTAATCTATACACATCTCTTTCCCCTCTTTCTCTAAATTAAAAATCTGAATCTAAATTACGAATTATCGTCGTATTTGTAAAAAATACTTTGATCGTTAACTTTAAATCAGAGACGCGTCTCTTCGAATATAATATCGAGACAATTTTCAAGTGTGAATAGTGTAACGGCGCAGCTTACGAGCGACGTGATCAATTTATTCGATATCTGCGCCGTACTCGTATACGCGTCAAAGATATACTTGAATGAGCAGCGACGCTCAATGATACGAATCGATCGTCGACACCCATTGAACGATACCTATATAGCGTGCGCGGCTATTGTACCCGTAGTACGGTAATTTATCGTTATTAATGCCCGACACGTCGGGAATACGAATCGCGTAAGTTAATAGCTCGGAGTTTAATAACCTGGGTTCACCTGTTACAAATCGCGTCTGCTCTCGATTTCAAGGTAACCGCGAAGTCGGAGGACGTGAGATCCTCTGAAGCGAGCCTAATTACAGAGAAGAGTCCGACAAGCTTTTTGCGATTTTTTTATAAAACGTTCCGCCGGCAAAAATTGTTTTCCGGTGTAACATCCGTGTCTGTTCGAATTTCGTTATGGGTGCTGTTTCGAAGCGTTCACAATCCATTATAAAACGGTCGGAAGCTTCGTCGGAAGCCGAAGAGATTCTTCAATCGGATCAGCAGCGAATAACGACTATTTGTAACGCTGAGACGAAAGCGAACGCGCCACGTAACTTTGCTTGAGCAGTAAAACGCGAAAATGAGCACGAAAATTTGTGTCGATCGTAAGATTGTTGCGGTTGGTCGAATGGGCCGTAACAATATATGAGCTATCGCTTTCTGTTTAATCCGTTTCGTTTTCGCAACAAACAAGTCGGGCCCAGTCGAAGCGTTAATTATCTTCGCGAATTAATTTTTCCTGATATCGCAAATCATTGATTTCGACAACAATTGCGAGAACTCATATTCCGTAAAACAATCTTGTCGTCTTGCAATTGTTAGAGGTGACGTTACTTGCGACGCAGAATAAAATACTTTGAGAAATTATAATTTAATTACAATGATGCATCATCGCACACGCAATGCACGCATTTATCTGAGATCTGAAAATTATTTAATCCTCTTCCCATTGTTACACCAGTCATGCGATATTCTCGAGTAGTTTACGCGGTTCGCAAATGAAAGCAAAAAGTTCGTAAAAAAAAAGCGAATCGTCATCTTCATTCGATCGATTTGCCGGCCGCAGAAATTTCATGATATCGATGAAAACTCGTTTATATCCGGAGGTGACGTTACTTGCGACGCAGAATAAAATACTTTGAGAAATTATAATTTAATTACAATGATGCATCATCGCACACGCAATGCACGCATTTATCTGAGATCTGAAAATTATTTAATCCTCTTCCCATTGTTACACCAGTCATGCGATATTCTCGAGTAGTTTACGCGGTTCGCAAATGAAAGTAAAAAGTTCGTAAAAAAAAGCGAATCGTCTTCTTCATTCGATCGATTTGCCGGCCGCAGAAATTTCATGATATCGATGAAAACTCGTTTATATCCGTTGTCCCGTGACTAATTATAAAAATGGGTTCGCATACCGAGACATAACTCCCATAGCGTAAAATCATGCGCCGGTCACTTGGCGTTACAAATTCGTTCATCAACTTTGCACAATCGCATCACGGACTACAACGATGAGAACTTGAATTAAATATATCGTATACGCATGGCAGTGTGCGAAATTGCAGTGTCAGGCTAACGTATTTTCAACGTACTGAAAATTGAACGCCGAGCAAAATTAATGGTTATCATTAACAACGACAATGGCTTGATCACAATGTACAATATGTATATATCTTATCTATATGTGCGTATCTTTTTCATTCTTTATATTATTTTTTACGCTCGGCGTAAAATCATGCGCCGGTCACTTGGCGTTACAAATTCGTTCATCAACTTTGCACAATCGCATCACGGACTACAACGATGAGAACTTGAATTAAATATATCGTATACGCATGGCAGTGTGCGAAATTGCAGTGTCAGGCTAACGTATTTTCAACGTACTGAAAATTGAACGCCGAGCAAAATTAATGGTTATCATTAACAACGACAATGGCTCTTGATCACAATGTACAATATATGTATATATCTTATCTATATGTGCGTATCTTTTTCATTCTTTATATTATTTTTTACGCTCGGGAAATATTATCTCGTTAGTACGACAGGTAGGAGGATACAATCGACGAAATCTGCCATTAACCAGTGAGCGATTAAAACGGGACTCGTGCACATTCATCGCATCTAATGAGGCTGCGGATTATCGCTCCAGAAAATTCATTAGAGCTCCGAGTTCGAAGCGACGAGTAAGAGGAACGGCGCCTGAGTAAATTGGGAAGCTCGCATGCCGAGAGCGAGTCGTAATGACAATAATCATCGGCGGATTATCATTATCAGCCCGCGGAGAGACAATGATGAGAGAGTTGTGAACTTGACTCTCGTCGTTGCAAGCAGTCACGTCGGGCATACCCCGCATGCTCTCTTCCTACTCTCGCCTGGAGAACCCTATCCAGACTCGATGTTGTATCGCATTATTCGGGTTATTATCCGTAAGGGAGTATCACGGATTGTACCAAGGATTACTTCCGCGAAAGAAAATGTTCTCCGTTGTTCAAAACTCAAAACATCCGTTCGAAGTCCGTTCTACGTGCGTTTTTAGATTTAAACGGAATGTTCTATTAAAAACACACGCTTTTTTAAGACATTATTAATTTTTAAAAAAATCTTCGTAATTATGAAGAAACGTAATAAAAGGGACAGATATAAATATAAATATTAAATATCATGATATAAGAAAATAATTATTTATAAAAGTATTATTTTTATTTGTTTTTAAACTTTCTCTCGTCTCTATTTCACAATATGGGCAGGATGAGTAATTGCAATAGTCTTATCTTCAGATGGACGATTAAAAGTCACGTTTGACAAGCGTTTCCTTAATGCTATTGTCCTCCCTCTCGTTACTAAATTGAGAAACAACGCTCGATCACTGTAGGAAGCAATTAAAGGCACACAGAAAGTTAATGATGCCGCTCCTCGCAATATCGGGCCCCGATCGTTTGATCATCGTCGAAAGTATCGTAATGGGACCCCGAAAGTATCCCGGAATTCGCGAGATCGACGACCGACCAAGTTCACGATTTATTTCGTCTTTTTAATATTTTCCGTTTAGCATATCTAAAAGAAAAAGGATCGAAAAAAAGCTGCACAAATTCTTTACTTTCCTTGAATTTTCCGAGAATTCATCTCTGCACAGTCTACCAATTTTTGTGGATAAAGGTTCTTGTGATATCGTAAATTTCAAAGCGCATTCAAAAAGATAAATTTATTTTTCTTGAATTAATTGAAAATTAATTATATTAATAATATAATACATTTTTACTTATTTCCGTTAAATTCGATAAATACAAGATGTTATCGTGCAAAAAGATATGCTAGCTTCGAAACAAAGTTAATTATGCGTAGTCATAGCGGTATCCCTTGCAAGTTCTATTATTACACCATTAAAATTGCAAGATTGATATCATCATGTAGAATCAATTTTAGATACCTAAGACCACCAACCGAATGCCGTCATGACATCTCGCAAGATACGTATCGTTACTCGCAAGCGAAATCAAGCGTCAGCGTGTCACGTGGTCCAAGTCGGGTCTCGGGTCGGAAGTCGAAGGGTACTTGACCTTTCGGCTTCTCTCTTTGTGCCGAGCGACTCGGATAAGATTCACTTGGACACGTACGGCGAATCTGATGTCACTTGTCACGGCGGCGCAAAGCAAGTCCATAAAAATGCTAATGAGCCTACGTCTCGGCGTCGCTTTTATTTGGTTTTCCTTTCTCTCGCGGCGGCCTTTCCCCCTCCGCTGCGATCGTCTACACGTCGTCCACACAGAGGCGTGGTGTTCTTTTCTTTTTCCGCCTCTGACTCACGAGTTCCCGAAGGACGAAACAAAGGCGCGTCGAAGAAGACGTTCCCCTGAGCGAGTGTAATTTGCAAACGACACGCGAGCCACGCTGTGCGACTTCCGCCGCTTGTAGAATCGCCGCATTGGAGAACTCGCCTTCGCATCTCCCCTTCCGTTCCTCATCTATTCTTTTCTTCCCCCCGTTTTCGTTGAAACTCATCTTACGCGCGAGCGCTTCCGAACGAAGATTGTTGCCTTGAGATCGTGAGATGCAAGCAGTACGCAAGCTGAGTGAGAACTACAGGATGTTAAAAAATTAGACTGACAATCTAATTTTTTAACACCTTGTATATTATCGCATAATATCTTGACATGAAAGTAGGGTTGCCATACGTCCTCTTTTCCCCGGACACCGTCCTCTTTTTTAGGGCATCCGGGGACGTCCGGGGGGATTTTTCGAATGTGTCCGGGGTAATTATGAATGTCTGGGGTTTAAGAATATTCATAAATATTCTGCTTTTTAGATTTAATTAACCACATCATATTCAATCACTTCAATACAATTGAAGTTATCAACCATTTGTTTTTTTATTTTTATGCGTGAATCTAATAATAAAACTTCTTTTAAATTAAAAACATGTTTAATTTATTCCTTTTACTCTAAGTACTAATGAAAATGAGATCTAAAATAATTATTAATTTATTGTTATAAGTTATAAGCAACTTGCTAACCTATTCGCATTTTTCTATACGTCCGGGGTTGCAAGCGAAATGTCCGGGGTTTCTGAGCTATAAGTTCTAGTTTTGAAAATTTTATTATGGCAACCCTACATGAAAGTCGAATATAAAATTGCACGTGTGCGATATATTCTTATTACGAAACGATTGACGTTTTTACGTTCTCCTGTATATTTCACTTGACAAGTACATTTGCGTTACCTTCCAAGTAATACTTAA